CACTAGAGAGAATGCAGCTTTAACACATGAAGCTTTGGATTCACTCGTCAGCACCGGAGGTTGCCGCCTGGTGATAAACCAGGAAGGCAGGCGAGAGTAAAGACACTCTATTTACCCTGTTTTTCTCCCACTCATCTAAATGTTTTGTTCACAAATCACCACGATCCTGCTGGAGTCATTCCATAGTGAGCTGAACAATGATGTTCTGGCTTTGGCTTATTCCAGATGTTGCACTTTCGTTTGACGTTGGCCTCTTTCGCCAAACTTGAGTGGATGTTTTTTTTCCATTCTGCCGGTCTAATCTTCATCATCTGCTCAATGCAGCAGAGACAAAGGGAGGAGGAAATGTACGTTCTGACAGTGCATAGCTTCTTTGACGGACTCTGGACTTCCTCATATGAGCCGTAGAATAAAACGTCTCCACAGGGAGCCTGAATCATCTCCACAAACTCTGCACATTGAATGAGTTATTTGCAAAGAGATGCTTCGACTTCGCACTTCTTCATGAGAAAGCTGTGTCTGTAAGTCTAAACAGTATCAATGCTTCTGATCACTTCTGATCGGTTGTTCTAAACTCTGTGTGCTCTCAGCTTGTTTCTGTTATTTGTCCCTGAGACGAGGAATAAATAAGGCTGAAGTGCATCATCGCACGTCAAAACAATTCAAACACGACGACGAGGAGCGCACAGGTACTTGTACACAAAGTACTGCATCGCTCTTAAGTGTGTTACTGCTTGTATTTTATCTTCTGTGTACTTGTTTTCTTTCAGTCATCGTGTTTGTCGTGACTCTGGTTTAGTATTCTTTGGAAAAAAACGTCTAAATCTCAATATGAATGTGCATTAAGAAACACAGCCGAACACTTTCATTCTGACAAAGCCTTTTGCTGGCTAATCAGAGTAGCGATTTAGAATACGGTGCGTGTAGAAAAACTGCTCTCTCTGGTTAAAAATACCATGAGGCTGACAGACAATGAGCTATAAGCACAATGAGACTGTGGCGGAGCCCGCCACCCACTCACCCTGTGTAACCCTGTTCCCTCCTCTCCCTCCCACTCATTCAGTGTCTTTCTCTCAGATGGATGACACAACATCCATTTTCTTTGGTCTGAACCAAAGCACAAAAGATGACTGAGGCTCAGGAGGTTCACACTGCAGCTTTAAACAAATCAGGGTTCAATAGAGACTCCAGTCCAGATAACTTTAGCTGACAGGGAGGACACACGTTACGCTCGCTGGGCTGATTATAGTTATTACAAGTGATGAGACAAAGTGGGTCTGAGTCTATTTGTGTCTGGGTCAGAAGGGTCGCTGTTAGGGAGACTGTGCTTCCAAGCTGTAAACACAGTACTGACATATTAGTACATTAGAAAGTTATATTAATGACATATAAATATGCAAATATGTCAACAAATTATTGTCCGTTCAAACATCCACACAAAGACTGTGTTCTCGCTGGCTTTCGGCTGTCTGATGATCAGTCACCTGACCAAACACATCAGAGCTAACACACCTTCACTCACTCACTAACACACCTTCACTCACTAACACACCTTCACTCACTCACTAACACACCTTCACTCACTCACACACCTTCACTCACTCAGCCACTGGTTGATTCACCTGCTGCAGCGATCTCTCGGTCACTTTCCTTCCACCGTACCAACGGCTCACTTCTTCTTTCTCCCCTCGTGCTGTTCTCAAATCTAAATTGAGATTTGTTCTATTGTTCCCTCTTCTCCATTTCCCGATATCTCCACCTCTCTTTTATTTCTGCCTTTGTTTGTTTGTTTGTTGACTTGTTTCTTTCTTTCTGCCTCAGTCAGCGTACTTCTGAAAATACCCGCTCTCACCTGCAGGTGCTGTAATGTTTCAGGCGAGCGTGATTATGGATGTCGCTTGTACCGACTTGTTGTTTGAGATGCAGCCAATCAGGGAGCTGAATGATGAGAGCCAGCACAGTCAATATCTTTGCGTGTGTGTGTGTGTGTGTGTGTGTGGGGCCTCTGCTCACTTTTATGTGTGATTTTTGTATGTATTCTATTTGCATCACATGTGTAAAAGTCATCAACAGCAGAAGTAGAGCAGCAGCATCATGAATAAGAATAACCCAAGAGGCTGTGCAGTCCCACAGAGCACCAGCTCTTTACATGAAGTTAACGAAGTCTTGAAATAACCAGGAACAACTACGCTTGTGTATAATTCAGTTTTCCATCACCACAGATTCCACAGGAACAATTCGGAAAAATAATGTTTTATTCTTATCTCCCACTTTTTTTCACGGCACAAACTTCTCTTAACCTGTTGAACGCCGCTTCCTTAAAAGAGGAGGTGAGGCTGCATCAGCAGTAATGTGTGGAAGTCCACTCACCTGAGCAGGAGAGTAGAGCCGACATCGGTGGTGGGTGTGTTCATCGTGAGCCGCTCCGCCTCCTCTTCCTCCACCACCTCCTCCTCTTCCTCCACCTCTTCCTCCTCCTCCTCCTCCTCCTCCTCCTCCATCTCGTAGCGGCGCTATCACCCCGCCACTCGGACCCCCAGTCGTCCCCGCCGTAATGGCACCGGACGCTGCTCCGCTCGTGCCGGACCCGCTCGCGATGGCGCCGATGCCCCCCATCATGCAGCAGAGGCCTCCCTGAGCCAGCTCCAGCTCGATCTCGGCGTCCATCTCGGCGTCCTCCTGCGCCTCCTTGTTGGAGTCGTCCAGGTGCTTCATGAGCACGGCGACCACCACGTTGATCAGGACGAACTGAGCCGTGAGCACGAAGGACACAAAGTACATGGGGGAGATGAACTGTAGTCCGGCGTGGCAGCCGTAATCGGTGGCCGCATGACCCGGCGGGCACTCCCTCAGGGTGTCCTGGTGGGTGGTGGGAGAGTTCATGGGGGAGACAGGGCATGGTGGGTGGACAAAAGGGAAGAAAAGTATGATTTTAGAGAGAGTTAGGTGAAGAAACGTTTAACGGGTGGACGCACAGTCTTCTGTCTACCTTTGTTTGAGCATTGATACTTTATCTGCAGGTTACTGCCATTTTTGTGACAGGAAACATGTGACAGGAATGAGGCATCACACACGCATGGATGGATTACTGCATGATTCTAAAGGGCAAGGGGCCTAAAGTGTCAGGGGTCACTTCAAGAGACACGTACCAGCTAGGAAGAGAAACGTAAAACAACTACAAAGAAATGCTAAACAGCTGCAAAGAGACGCAAAGACACCACAAAGAGTCGACTCAAAACAACCAATAACAGAAGCAACGACTTCTTCTAATTGGTTGTTTGTTCCCTTTTGGTCACCACACACTCTGACTCGTCTTGGTAGGAAATGTACAGGTTTTTCTTAAAACACGCTCTGTTATATTCAGCTAGCGCAATACCAGAACCCTGCAACAGAAGCAGCGAAAAGGAATTCAGCCGTCATTTCTGTTGTTATTCACACTTGTACTTGTCCAACTGGGACGTTCAGAGGTCCTCTATGAAAAAGGCTCATTACATAAAATAAGAGTAGAAGACAGTAAAACCTCCCATTGATTTTACAATGAATGAATCTTATTGTTTCCAAACTACTAAACGATTCTAACGAAGCGATGATTACGACTCACTCCATTCAGAGAACAAGTACAAGTTTCCCTTTGTAGGAATCTGAATGTTATTTTAGGACTGTGATGAGTGAAGCCTTTATGTTCAATGAAAGAGGCCGTGGAAGCGATCAGGAGCGCTGTCAAACTCTCACAATCCTGCTCGTTGAAAACGTGGTGACACGTTTCTCAGTCAGTCACTTTCTCTGAGCGCCTAATCAGCGCTGATTAACTCTCTCACGCATATGAGCTGTGGTAGCAATTTAGGAGCTCAAAGGTGCTCGGGCGTGATTACAGCGCGAGACTTGATTGAGGTGATGGATGAGTGAATGAGGGGCGATCGCATTTTGAATTCTTTACTCGTCCTTGGAAGTTTTTTGTTGATGTGCACATTTACTTTTTTTCACAGCATCTGTCGCTCAAGGACGCGCTCATCAATCCTCTACGATCCTCCGCTGCTGGGATCTGAACTAAAGACCTTTAATTATCGCTCTGCTTCTGCCTGCACTGAGATTGGTGTCAAATAGGTTTGAGCAGCTTAAAAAATTGAAAAATATATGCTTTTACAAATAACTGCCCCCCCTCCCTTTCTGATTGACCCTCATCTAAGAACATTCGTGTTTCTCTACAGCAGGAGATGAGGTGACGGTGAGGAGACTGAAAACCAATTAAGCCTTATTCACACCAAACTTCAGCCCTGAGTTCCAGTCAGATCTATGGAACTTTCAGGGAGCCCGTTGGGGAGCTATGACAGCTCAACACACGGTTTGAGGGGTTAACCTGTCTGAGGGTGCAGCAATAGGACCTTTACAGTATGTTTGGCATGTGAAACACGGAAACAGGCTGTTTTGCGAAGATGTGTGCCAACGACAAACACCCCTGACCCCTCTTTGCTTTTCCTTCTTTGTTTTATTTCTGGAAATCAACGCACAAAGAACTTGGAGCGCGTTCATCATGGCATCATCCATTTTGCAAACAAAAAAAATCCCGTCTCTACCGTGGGTATTAATGCATTTCCTTTGTCACTTCTCACGTGTGTTTTGGCGGCAAATGGAGACGCAGCCTGGTCTCACATCTTCATGCAATAAAGAGCGAGTAGGTCCGCTCATCGTTGTCGGGCTGGGTGGTGGACGGGTCAAACAAACAGGACTTGTACTCAGGGGACGTGTAGGAACCAAAAGTTGACTGATTTCTACTAATGCGACGTCACTGACTCACACAACAGTGAGCAGTAAACTGAAGTACCTTCATGATGCCATTCCAGTTGTCGCCGGTGGAAACCTGGAAGAGTGTGAGGAAGGCCATTCCAAAGTTCTCAAAGGTGGCATGTCGGCTCATCCCTTCACAGGGGTAGTCAGCGTTACACACTAAGAGAAGACACGACGGCAGAGGGAGAAGAGGAGGGAAAGAGAGTCAACCTTTGGTAGTGTCGGAAATTATGTGAAGGTTTTCTGAAAAATCACAACTGTGAATTAGTTTCTTTGGTGTTTGTATCTGTTCATCAATTAGAGATGAGCCAAAATTCACATAGAAGAACAAAGGACGGCACACACTGCTGAGCCTTTAGTAGTGCAAATATTACGTGTGCATCAGAGTCAAAATGGACAAAAGTCATATTGTCCATTTGTCATTGGATGGTAGGTTGAAGAGGATTTTTGGAAGCTGTCATCCAGTCAGGTTCAGGATGTTAGGAATGAAAACAAACGTAAATCAAGTGCTTTACTGAACACAGCTATTTTAATTCTTTGGTTGATTGATTGTAATTTCACGTTGGCTGATTTTGACTTTAGGTCATGTTCACAGCATAGACTTGGATAGACTGTTCTTAAGCTCCATTGCATCTTGTTTGCCTCGTAGCAGCTTTTGTCCAGGACGTCTGATCTAAAGAAATCTCGAGACATGATTGGAAATCTTGTGAAGAAGGTTAGCCATGAAGAACCCTACGCAGACCTTATCGCTCTTCATACGACGTCAACTATCCTTGCTGATGACCACGTGGATTGCATACCAATAGATCATGTGACTTACCCAGCTCTCCAAACAGCTCCACTCCCAAAGCCGCGTAGATGAAGAACAGCAACATGAAGAGCAGACCGAGGTTTCCCACCTGTCACACACAAACACACATCAGTGGAAGCAACTCCTTGTTATTGGCTGTAAGTTATACGTTTCTGCTGAGCAGGTGTTCTTCTACAGGTAGGTAATGTGGGTGTGTAGTTACTGATTCAGTGGTTAAATCATTCCTGCATCTTTACCCTCTGTCAGCGTATTAACAAGATGTTAATATAATGTATTAATAGCTGAGAAAAGGCAGGTTTCATTGAGGATGTTACACATGACACCAGCTGCAGAAGAGCTGCAGCTCTCCAATAAATATGAACACAGGCTGATCTGGAGTTGGATGCTCATGCATTTTTAATGCGCTGGGTTTTCAATGTTTGTTTTTGTGGGCTTAAAGGTCATGAAACTAAACAGGCACACTCCGGATCCTGCAGACATTTCATCGAATCAGAAATAGTTGCAGAACTGGAGGTTAACACACAAACACGCAACATAAGCAACACCAACAAAAAGCCCCCCCCCCCCCCCCCCGAATCGAGGAAAATCACTCCATTACACGGTTTGGGGAAGAAAAAAAAAAGACTAGCCGACTTCTTAACAGCCATGAATCCATCCGTGTAAAGGAAACGTTCTCCCAGAGAGGGATACGTACGCAATGCAAACGTGTAAATGACTCCCTGGGGTGCGACAGCAGGCACTGAGCAGAATGCCATTAGCTAAGTCACCTCACAGGGAAGGCAATCAGGTGCTTGTGTACACACGCCTGTAGAATTCTATTATATAAGCAAATAAACAGGCTGGATCAGCACCGAATAAGACATATAGTGTGTATTGGAGGAGAGGGTGGCACGGGGGAGAAAGAGAAGACATAATGAAGGACGGGTGGAGTTGGGAACCGTGGAGAGGCGAAGCAAAGCCCGGGGAAATGCTTTCTTTTCTCTCCCCAGTTGTGCGTGTCGATGTTTCCTGGCGGATATTAAAAGCGACGAGTTGGCCCGAGGCGGCTTGTAGTTTGTAATGTAAGCCCATCTGATGTCTTTAGATCCCTCCAGCAGAGAGGGGAAGCTCACCACGGGGAGACGGATGCTGTGGTGTGAGGAACAGATTGCTGGATGCTGTGGGACCATTAGAGCTGGCAACCAGGCAGCAGAAGCTCGAGAGAAACGCAGTTACAGCGGACTTCGGTTGTTAAACCTTCTGCTTTCCATAGAGAGGATAAAACCCTGCACTGATCCTCCAACTTTTAAGTCTGTTTGCTGAATAACTACATTTCTGTGTTGAGATTAATGAAGCCATGAGTCAGCTATCTGCGTCACGGTCAGATGTATTTTTCTGTTTTCACGCCGACACACTGAGGGTCATCACACACCCACCACAAACTCCTGAGAAAGAACAATATCCAACGGCAACATCTGTGGTGAAAGAGGATCCTCCGACTGTGTTTCACCAACAACCGATTCAAGGAAAGACAATAAATACAATACGCAGAAAGGTTCCAGGGACCAGGTAAACATCTTTACACAGTTTTAAAGTTTCTTATAATGCATAATAAATATAAGTACAAAGCAAAGCCATTCAGAGGCAGCTTCTCACTGGACGTACTCACAGTCCACTGAAGTAATTATTTACAATTCATAGTGGATCTTATTTCCAAAAACGGGAACACAGTACAGGTATACGAGTCTCTTTTCTACAGTAAAAAGGTAACAATCAGGCGGCAACCTCCGGTTCTAGCTAGTGAAGCCAATGCAGAAGTGTTAAAGCTGCATTCTCTCTAGTGTCCACCAGGGGGCGACTCC